TTAGTGTATATAAAAAAGTGAAGAGTTTTACTTTTAGTTCAAAGATTTTTCTAGAATAAATATTTTATTATTCGTTCATGCTTTGTAAAGTTTGAATTTAGGTTAGTTAAACTTCAAACTACGTAAATAGATAATTCAAACAACCACTTTCACGCTTTTCTTTGTTTTATGGCTCGAAACTTCAGTGCTCCAGACATAGAGGAACCATAGCAATCCCAAAGAGAAGTAAAAATGTACGAGTCATTCCATATACGTTGCTCATGCCTATGGGATTTTTTAGATAAAGAGGTTGAAGAATTTTTATTTTCATCTATGTCAAAGATTCCGATGAATGAAAAACCATTGTCATGTTTAGCTCGACCGTCAAAGGCCCACATTTTTATTTTCGGTTATTATCTGGTATGCAGAAGAAAAGGTTTTTTAATTGTAGGTTTCATAATTAATTAGTCTTACCTAATTGGTTTAATCATAAATCTTAGCTAGAGATTTTTTTTTTTTAAATTATGGTACAACTGAAAAAATGGTGAGAATTTCCTTTTAGAGTACAACTGAGCAATGCGCCTTTATATCATTATTGGGATTCTGATACTATATCTAAAATTTCAATGTATAGTGTTAACACCAAGGGAAATTACAGGAATGCATGTCTTTTCAGTTGGAAGCTTCATCTTATTCTTTTATGAAACAGATTATTTATTAATATTAAATTATTAAATAAAACATTTTACAGTCTTTTTCTAATGCACGTCAAGATTTGAATAATTCTTACTTTTGAAAAATATAATATATTCATGACAGTGAGTAAAAAATTTAAAATGAAGGAATTCTATTTCAATTTTCTCATTTGAAGGCCTATTTTAATATTAGTAAAATCGCGTGTGATTTGTAATTCTAAAAAATAATTTCTCAAAATAGAAATTGAAAAACATTTTTGGTTTGAGCTGTTGAAAAATTGTTTTAAAACATTTTATTCCGTGAAATTTATTATTCAATAAAATAGAATATTTTTTATTTTAATATATTATTAAGTAATATATATTTTAAAGTTAATGAATATTTATAATTTTTTTTT